CAGTTTCTTCTCTCATTCTTGAGTAGCATATTCTACACACACTACTTAATGTACAGTGATTCAGGTACAAGACGAGTAGGGATGTTTTTCACATTTCTTAAAAACAGTTTTCCACCAGGGGTAGGTATCAGAATTACTTGTGGAACTTTTAAAATTCACATTCTTGGGCCTCATTCCAGATCTACTGAATCAGCATCTCTGGGACAGGGCCTTAGTATAATAATTTCCACATGTAATTTTTTATGCAAGCACCCAGTTAAGAACTGCCTTACTAGAAGGTCATCTCAAGCCACTAAGGCAGATAAAAATTTATAAATATTAGTTTTGATGACCTCATGATCTTTCCCAGAACCCCTCAGTAGCTTTCCTATTTTTAAAGAGTAAAGTCAAAATGAAACAAAATAAAGTCAAGACCCACTTGTAGTCACTCCAGTCTATCTTGTTAATTCTGTTTTTTTAACCATTCTTTTTGATAACTATACACCTACCAGACTGAAATTGCAGTTTAACATAAATTTTCAACCACCTACTTACTTTTCTTATGATGATCTAGAATGCCCTGTTCCTATCCCCATTTTCTTGACCTCTAGCAGTTTTTGCCATCAAATTCAACCTCAAAAAGTAAACTTTCTTCATAAACTTTCCCTGTTGCCTCAGCTAGAAGTCACATTCCTTCTTTGAACTCTTAAATATTTATGTACTTTATTTTTTTACACTGATCCCTGTTCATGTTTATTTCCAGATACCTTTCTTCTCTACTAGATCTATGAGATTCTGTTTGACAGATTCTGTTCTACCGTTCAATGTAATTAAAATAGTGTCTCCCTTTAGAGTATGTCTGCTTAAAGTCCAGTGTAATAATGATAATGTCACCTTCCTCTCATGTAATACAACTCATTGCATGTACAGTTGTCGCCTGGCCCTCTTGCTCCCCCGTACCCCATGGGAATCGTGGTTCAGGGAACTGGCTCAAATACTGATATTGCTTCTGTGTTTGCCATGAGTAATAAAGTCTTTGACTTCGACCTAACAGCATTTGTAAAACTGTGGTGGAATAACTTGTGAGCTTGCAAGTAGGGTTAAATCTCCTGCCCTTCACAGTTCTTGATAGTAATTTAAAAGCCATTTTTTTTTTTAGATCTGCAATATGGCCCCTTCTATAAGTAATTTTTGTTAAATCTGGATAAGACTAGAATTCAGGTTCCTATTTACTGTGTAAATTGTTCCCCTATTCTTTTTCATGAAAATAAATCAAAATTATTTGAGTTTAAACTTCAATTCTGAGATTGTCCTTCTATGACATAATGGAATCAACAGTGCTTTCTCTCTTCCCCTAAAATAAAAACATTGCTGTATTATGAGGATGAGGTATACTGACAACATGTTGATTTGTTTACTTAAAGCTAAAGTTTGGAATATGCTATGTTGTATTTAAACAAGAATGGGATGTTTAGGAGGACATTTAAGAAATTTAGATATAACATGAATTTTTAATGATAAATAAATGAATAAAGTATATAAATAATAAAAATATGTTGGATAGTGGCAACGTTAAGGAAAAAGAAAAGGAAAGTGGATAGGATTGTTGGGATGGACAGGGCAGTATTGGAATTTTAGACAATGTTGGCTAGGGAATGCCTTACTGAGGTGACTTTTGAGTAAGGAATTGAAGGAAGTTAGGAGGTTAACCATTTGACTATCTGGAGGGAAAGCATTCTGGGCAGAAGAAACAACAATGCAGAGTTTCTGCAGCAAAGTGTGCCTGATGGGAAACATTGAGGAAGCTGATGTGTGATACGTTGCAGACATGTCACGAGAGGGTTAAAATCTTGACATTTATCTTAGCTATCTTTTTGTGCCTCTACCAGAGCACTTGCTTTAGGGTTTAGATATTAGACACATTTTCACTTGAGGAATGAGATTTCTTCCCTTAAAAACATTTGAAAACTGGGCTGGGCATGGTGGCTCATGCCTCTAATCCCAGCACTTTGGGAGGACGAAGCAGGAGGATCACTTGAGTCCAGGAGTTTGGGACCAGCCTGGGCAAATGTAGTGAGACTTTGACTTTACAAAAAAATAAAAAATAAATTAACCAGGTGTGATGTTACACGCCTGTAGTTTCATCTAGTCAAGAGGCTAAGATGGGGAGAGCACTTGAGTCCAGGAGGTAAAGACTGTAGTGAGCTAGAGTGAGACTTTGTCTCAAAAAAAAAAAAGAAAAGAAAAGAAAAGATAATTCCTGAACTAGTTTAACCTGTCTTTGAAAGTAGTCTTAGTTCTCATCGACAGTCTCTGTAAGTGTCCATCTTTCAATATTCATAGTGAGTCCTATACTAGTGTGTTTTTTAGGTTCATCAGGTTATTTGAGAGTTGTATTCAACCGTACTTTATGTGGCATATTTTTTTAAACTCCCACATGGATTATATTCTTTAAATTTCTGTTGAAGAAAAGAGACTAGGACAGCTTTATACAGTTAGAGAAATATCTAGGATAGCGTACCATCTAAAACCTTTCTAGCCAAGGTCACTACTTATCCTTTGTTACTAAATATAAAAGCTGACTTTCAGTTCTTGTTGGCCTTGAAATATTAGCACCATACCATTTCCTTGAAACATCATCCTATCCCTTGGTTACACCATTTCTGTTTCTCAAGGATTTTTCTTGGGTTTATACCTTCCTTCACTATCTATTCTTCTCACTTTCCTTAATCCCTTTGGGTACTTTGATCTACTTTATGGCTTCAGTTACAACCTAAATGTTGTTGATTCTCATACCTAAATTTCTAAAGCCCTCTCTTAAAGGCCAAGCAGTTGTAATAAGTTGGCTTTTAACATATCCATTTTGGTATGTAAAGCAAATTCATATTGTTAGAAAAAAGAACTTGTTCTTCCTCTCTTTAGTTTGGTAAACAGTATATTTGTCCAGTTGGTTAAACTAGAATCTTTATGTTGATGCCTATTAGTCACAGACCATCAGATAAACACCTGTAGTAAACAAAATTAGATTTTTTGATGCTTTCTGCAGCAAGGGAAGCCACACACCATGGAATGTCAGTATGACAGTCCTGGACAGACTTAAAGAATTTGGACTTTTGTTGGATTTCGGAGAGGATTCAGGGAAGTGGTGGAGGTATGCTCTGGATTGGATACTATGAAGAAGTGGGACAATTCCATGATTGGGTTCTTAATCTAATCTAGGGGGTGAGAAGAATGGGGCGAGGCTAGAACTAATTTGTAAACAAGCAGCAGTCACTTGCGCTAGCTGAGATTTTTTTGTGGTTTGTATGGAGTCCTTTTGTCTGTTCTAGATGTGATCCCATAGTGATTTGAGGTGCCTCACTTCCATCATGGTACAAAGACCTCATCTGATGTTGGTGCTCTATGAGATTCTGTTTGACAGAGAGATGCCACAATATAGCTGTGAGTGCTGGACCACCTTCTAGCTATGAGGGGCTGCTTTTCTCTATCTTTCTCATTTATTTGGTATAAATGTAGAAGTTTAGGTAGCATTTAGACAGCAAGAAGGTAGGTGTATTTTAATAAAGAATTTACATGCTATTGGATGTGTGTGAGGGACAGTAAAGAGATATATTCTGGCCGGGCTCGGTGGCTCAGCCTGTAATCCCGCGCCTTTTGGAGGCTGAGGTGAGTGGATTGCCTGAGCCCGCAGGTTCGAGACCCGCCTGGGCAGCGAGACCTCATCTCTACAATAGATCAAAAAATCAGCCAGGCGTGGTAGCATGCGCCTGTAATTCCGGCTACTGGGAAGGCTGAGGCGGAAGTATCTCCGGAGTCCAGCAGGCGAGGCTGCGGTGGCCGGGAGCGGCCACTGCACTCCAGTCTGGGCGAGAGAGTGAGACTCCAACTCAAAAAAAAAGAAAGAGATATATTCTGGGAATATATCTATAGGATCTAGTGTCACATCAAAGCAGAGATGCCTAGGCTGTTTATTCATTATTATCAATCACATCACATATGGGACTTTTATTTATTTTATTTTATATTTTTATTTTTTTTTAATTGGAGTCTCACTCTGTCACCCAGACTGGAGTGCAGTGGCCACTCCCAGCCACTGCAACCTCGACCTGCTGGGCTCCGGCGATCTTTCCACCTCAGCTGTAGTTCCAGCTTCCAAGTAGCTGAGGCGTGCGCTACCACGCCCGGCTAATTTTTGATTTATTGTAGAGATGAGGTCTCGCCAAGTTGCCCAGGTGGGTCTCGAACCCGCGGGCTCAGGCAATCCACTCACCTTGGCCTCCCAAAGCGCAGGATTACAGGCTGAGCCACCGAGCCTGGCCACATATGGGACTTTTAAAGCTAAATGTTTGCCGGGCACTAAGTACTTACATAGTCTCTTTTAATATTGCAAGTAAATTGAGTTAGAAAGAGGAATGCATCTTCCTGGCATTGGGAATAAGAACTAGACAGGAAATCTAAGTGTGTCTAGTTGTGTAGATTCTTAAGTAATGTTTAAAAGCATGAGTTTAACATAATAGTTTGGATTAATTTGATATGAATGGTGAAATAAGTTTGAAGAAATAGACTGATGACAAAGTATAGGATGACCAGAAACTTTTGGTTTTAGGTATTTATTTGGTTTTCCTCAAAATGTGGAATCAAATGTATAATGTGCAAAAAGAAAGTCATTGGGAAACGATATGAATTGCAGTGGTGAGCTGTAAAGAATTTGGCTTTAAGTAAAAATAAATATGTTAGAAATGTTGTGATTTAAAACTGCTGAAGTTAGGAATGAAATTACTTTGAAATACGTAAAAAAAATAGATGGATAGATATGTGGTGAGTCAAATACAGCAGAATGCTAATTGTAGAATCTAGATGGTGGGCACATGGGTGTGCACTGTACAATTCTTTCAACTTTTCTGTATATTTGAAGGTTTCATAATAAAATGTTAGCGCAAGTGTGGAGGTATAAACTGTTTGCTAAAGGCTTGTCTTGAAAATTTCACCTCCCTGACCTAAGACTTTTGTTTTTACTGTAGGAACTTTCCGCTGTACTTTTTGCCATACAGAGGTAGAAGAGGATGAATCAGCAATGCCCAAAAAAGATGCACGCACACTTTTGGCAAGGTTTAATGAACAAATTGAGCCCATTTATGCATTGCTTCGGGAGACAGAGGATGTGAACTTGGCCTACGAAATACTTGAGCCAGAACCCACAGAAATCCCAGCCCTGAAACAGAGGTGAGTATAGTCCCTGTGCTCTTACCAAGAACACTTTTAAACCTGCCCTTGTTTTACTACCTGTACTTTGGAGCACAAGTGTGGGAAAGTAATTTACCAGGAGACTAAGGGCTATAATGTTGCTTAGGTTCTAAGCTTGCCACACTTTTCTTATTAGCTTGTGCCTGTAATGAAATTGGTTGTTCTGAATGCAGAACAGTGTGGACCTTGGGCAAAAATCTTTAAATAGTCGAGTGTGACTCAAGTACGACTCTGCTTGGTCCTGAAGCAACTCAGCCAATTGTTAGCTAATTCTAAATTAGTTGTGCCTCTTGGGGATATTTGAATTTTCCTAGCCAATTTCTGAAGGCTGAAGTTCTTTAAGGAATTTAGCATTTTCTTTTTTGTTTTTGAAGTATTTTAATTATAAGTTTCTTGCCTTTCTCAGTTTTAAATGCCACTTCCTTAAAAGTTTGGTAAGTGTTAACTATGGATTAATACTTCTAAAAATGGCTCCCTGTTTTTATCAATATTACCTAATGTTTGAATTGCATAGCCTTTGTTTGTTCATGCCATTAAAAACTGGCTTATATTCTTTTTTGAAAAGCAGAAATGAGAATTGGGGTCAGGGAGTGCTCTCCTTCTTTACTCTTTTTTTTCTCTCCTCCTTCTCAGTGACAAGCTGAATTTATACCCACCTGATTCCTTCCATAGAGCTCAACAGTCCAGGTTGTTTGTATAGTTTTTAGGAACACTCTTAGTATTTTATTTCCTATAGTAATGATATTCCAGAATAGCCAGGCCTGAGCAACTGAGCTTCTTTTGGGTGGCTAAAAGCAATTCAGTGTATAGAAAGTTTTGTATTTGTACAAGTTATACATTTTCTAATCTAGCACCATGGATGCTGTTGCCTATGATACTAGAAAATCCAACTCTAGTTGGATCTAGAATCCAAACAGTAGTAGATTGGACAGTAAGAAAATTTGTCTTGCATGACTGATATCATGAGGTAGTACAGTTCAGAATTGGTTAACTTCACAGGTCAATTACATCCCTAAGAATCTTGATTTGTTCTATCTTTGTCTTCTGCTGAATCCAGCCTGTTGGTTGCCCTCTTGGGACTCTGAGGGAGCTAGCCTAGTATGGCTATATCTTTCTAGGTATCACACACAGATGAAAATGTCCAAATGCAGAAAAAGGGACCATCCCTTCATTGTGTCTGACAAAAGCTTTTTAAGACTGACAAAAGCTTTCCCAGAGGGCCCACTTTAACTTATATCTATCTTCCAATCTCTATTGATCATAGAATTGCTTTATATGCCTATTTCTAAACCAGCATCTGGCAAAGGAAATGAAGTCACATGATTGGTACTTAGGCTAGTTAAGGTTTATCTCCTAGGGCTGGGGAAGTTCGAGAGTTCTTTGGGACAAGTAGCCATCAATACTTGAATAAAGTCAATAAGCAAAGTAGAAAAGGAGCCACATTTGATAGGGAACTAATAACATTCATACCACAAGTAGCCTTACATTTTTGTTACTGGTCATTGGGTCTCTTACCAAGAATTTTTTGCTAAATATCTTTTTCTGTCCATTTAAGTTATACTGTAGTTCTAATATAGAAGCCTATGAGGGAAATTGATTTTACAAAAATACATAATGGTCTGAGCTTATGGATTATTTCATGTTGAAATATGCTACAACATGCTCTCTGATTGCTTTCTACACAGTAAAATACTATCTGAATTATTCTGGTATTTCCTCTTCTGCCTGTAGTCATGTGTCCTGATTATCAGAATGCTTCCCTACTGTAATAGCATTCCATCACCACCACTGCAAGCATCCTCCTCTAATGTTCCCCACCTACCACAGTCCAGCTCCCATTCCAAGGTCTTTATTTTGATATCCCTTACTCCATGCCTGAGACAAGTGTTAGTGGTGTAGCAACACCAGAGGCCCAACAACAGCTTGATGTGTCAAGTCACCTTCCTCAGGAATTATGGTGACTACAGAAAGGTAGAAGAATCAGGAAGCAAAGGAAATAAACTGATCAGATTGAAGGACATCCAATAGCCTGGTCATTAAGGAAAAAGGGAGGAAGTGGAGGCAAACAAAAACAGACTGGGCTTCCTGGAGCTGCCAGCCAGACCAAACTATTATTGTTTCCATGTGGTCGAGGGGAAAAACCATTGAAACTAGGTTAGAAGATGTTATCCAGGCTAATATGGCCCTACCAAGCATCTGACAAGCTCCACTGCCTGGTTATAACATCTTGGAAGTGGTATTGGTTGGACTGTTGCATGCTATAGGAGCATAACGTTTTGAAATAGTTCATCCTGCCCCATTGATGTAATAGTCCATCCTGTCTCAGTACAAGAAAAGAAGCATCATTAGAGTGGTATGGGAGTTACCTATACTCAGAGATGATAGTATTTTTTTTTAATAAGTAGCATAATTGTTAGTTTGGTCACTGATCTGTAATCAGTTAAATTCTAGCTCGTCCCTAGGTCAGGAACCAGATACTGCCTTTGTAGAACTGTCTGTAGGCCTAACCTGAGAGTTGTTGGACAGTTATAGCCTTTCGGCAAGTCAATTTATTGTCAATATAGAAAGACTTCCTGTCTTTCTGAAATGGAATTCCTTGCCAGTAACCTTCCTTTTTCTAACATCTCTTAAATCCATTAAAGATCTTTAAAAATTTAGTTTTAAAATAATCTTTCTCTTTTACCTCAGAGTATCACCTCAGAGTAAGAGTTGTATCTTTTAAAAGTTCTAAAATTTGGTAAATAACATAAAAAGATTCAAACATGAATTGTCATTTTTGTTTAATTAAAATCTGCTCATTCTCTCCATAGAAGAAATTTAAATATACAGAAGTAGTGAACTTAAGTGTCTCTCATCTGGATTTTCTTTAGTGTCACATTGGCTGGTAATTTAGATTAGTCTGTGTCTGTGGCAAAGGTAGAAGTAAAATTTGCGGAACCAACTCTTTATGGTTAAAAATATCTTCTTTTAAAAATTGTTCCAAATTTTAAAATTTTGGTCAATTGTGATCAATTGTCTCCTGCCTTAAACTGAAATAAAACCCATCTTGAATTTCTGTAACAGAATACTGAAAACAAAAGGATTTTTAAAAGTAGCCTTGTGTTAATATTTATTTTAAATGTCCTGTTCTTTCTGTCTGATTTTCTTGACTTTTCTCTCCTGAAAGTACTTCTCATACCTTCCTGAGATAGTTTTTAGAGTCAATGCTAAAGGCAAAGAATAGAGGACAACTGTGTTCAGGATGACATATATACAGAGACATAGTAGCCTCAGAAAGAGACCATCACACAGCTTTTGGAGGACAAAACGGATGAGGTAGAAGATAAGAGAATAATAACTGGGGACAGATATGATTAAATTGAGACAAACAAGAAATGGTACAAAAAATGACATCAGATGAGTGCAGAAAGAAATAGAAGGTAGAGAAATCAGTTATTTGCAACTGTAGCATAAGATGTCTATATATAGCAAGACAAATGGGTGGATTGGATAGGTTTAGAGAGAGATGCCCCATAGGACTAGACTTAGAGTGGAGAACAAACAACTGATAGAAAGTTGGGGCAGTGAAGAGGCAAAATAAGTGATCGAGTCGTGGAACAGATAGGACGAGCACTGAGAAGAAAAGGCTGTAGGAAAAAATGGTTTACACAGTATCCCTAGGTACAGAGGTAGGATAATGGAAACAATGCAGAGGCAGTAGCTGGAAAACATGGATTAAGTGGCTGGTTCTGTGGGGACTGGACAACTGGAGGGAGCACATTTTTTAATTGCCAAAGTGGTGGTGGATCTGAAGATAACTAGAGACAGGAAAGGAAGATGGGATGAGCTTAATGTTACTTCCAAAGGATGGTCAGAAACACAGTGCTGTTAGGAAGGGATGTAATGGGCCAATCAGACACACAGAGATACACATCAGAGAAACCTCAAACAAGCATGAGCTAGAAAACCCAAGTAGATATGAAGTGGGCTCAGAAAGAAGTGAAGAATGGTGGAGTAAGCAGAACTGAAGGAAAACACAAAGGAAGCAACTGCTGGGGCAAAATAGAGTGACATATATACAGAGACATAGTAGCCTCAGAAAGAGTAGCCTTAGGAAGAAGGAAGACAAATGAAATATTTGTTAGGTTCAGAATGAGATAGAACACAGAGGAGACAGTCCAAGATCCATGGAAAAGATGAAAGCAAAAGTTGAAGAAAAGTAAAGAAGAAACATGGGGTTAAGTTCATCGGAGGACACTGAAAGGAATATAGCAAAAGGAGTGAGCAGAGAGTGGAGTGAGCAGAGAGTTCAAGAAACATGAAGATAGTTATGAGATAAAACAGTCTGAACTGAGAGGGTTGGAGAGCCGTGCATAGAAGTTGAAGCAGAAAGCATCAGTAACAGGCAGAAAAAGACAAGGCATGAGCTCAGACACAGAATCAGGTATAGTCAAAAGAATTTGGAACAGATTGAGAGTGAAACAAAGAGGTAAAACAGGGAACAGCAGAAAGACTGAAGACTTGACCTAATTCATAGCAAGATGGTGAACATAAGTGACTAGAGAAATGGAAGGCATGGTCAGGCTTAGAACAAGCTAACAGGCAAAGAGGGTCATGGGTAGTAGAGGAAAAACATGTATGTATGATTGCTATATGGCGTTTATTTGTAGTACTTCAGTAATCGTCCTCCCAGCTGCCCTTCTTTTCCAGTGCCAAGACTTTAATTTTCCTTTCTATCCTCTAATTTTTTTATGTAGCAAGGACCATGCAGCAACTACTGCTGGAGCTGCTGGCCTGGCAAGTGGGCACCACCGGGAAGCATGGAGCACCAAAGGTCCCTCCTACGAGGACTTGTATACTCAGAATGTTGTCATTAACATGGATGACCAAGAAGATCTTCATCGAGCCTCCCTGGAGGGGAAATCTGCCAAAGAGAGGCCCATTTGGTTGAGAGAGAGCACTGTCCAAGGAGCATATAATTCTGAAGAAATGAAAGAAGGTAAGAGTAGAAGTCAGTAAAATGGGTTCAGTTGAAAATGAACTTGGCATAGTTGGAAACTACCTGGGTAGTTCTTAGTTTTATTGGTAATCTACTATACCTGTTTTACAAAACATTAATTGCATTATGTCGGGAAGTAAGAAATCGAGTGGTGAGTTTAAAACCAACCAGTATACTTGTATTGTCTTTCAACTTAGTGAAAATAACAAATAGTTTTTTATATCTTCATTTTTAGATTTGAAAAATTGCTCTCTCTTTATCTTAATTTCTTGGAAAAATGCGATTGTGTTCAGGTGGTCATATTCACCTCTTCTTTGATCTTATATTGTCCTAACTTATATGCACTTAATTTTTCTGAATTGGGAGCCAAACTGTACACAGCTCTAAACTTTTTTATGTTGGCTCCTCATAAGTACTAAGGAGTTTCTGCTACTTGATGTATATATAAAGATAACACATGAGTAAAGGAGTAAGCATTCTCACAGTGCAGGAAGATTGGCTAAACTTTATTCTAGAAGATTTTGGAAATCTGTATGAGCCATAATGAATTAAGAATTACAACGTAATCTTCAGATGTTGGAGAATTGCAAGATTTTATTTTTTAAACTTTAGTCTGAGTTACTGGATTCAAGTCTTTGGATGATAATGTTTAGGAGTATGTAGAAAATGAGAGGGTAAGACTGGATAAAAATTACTCAAACTGGAAAGCAGAGGTGAAAGGGAGTCTTGTATCTCTGGTTAGATTTTGTCAGCATAAAAATCTATATGCTGCTATTTCCAGGTAATGTATTACAACTAATCATCACTAATATGTCATCTGAGTTTTTTTTTTTGGGGGGGAGGTTGGAGTTTTACTCTGTCATCCAGCCTGGAGTGCAATGGCATGCTTATGGCTACTGCAGCTTTGACCTGCTGAGCTCAGGTGATCCTTCCACCTCAGCCTTCCAAGTAGCTGGAAACATAGGCGTGTGCCACCACCCCCAGTTGATTATATGATTTATTGTAGAGATGAGATCTCGCCAGGTTACCCAGGCTGGTTACAAACCCCTGGGCTCAGACATTCTTTTCGCCTCAGCCTCCCAAAGTGCTGGGATTACAGGTGTGAGCCACCATGCCTGGCCTGAGTATTCTTTAATGTTAAAGAATCATCAATAACTGAAAACCACTTGCTTTTCGGGCTTTTTCCTACTCTCTTTTCCCTTCATGAGTAACACTCAGTATACTATATATACTAGAAATTGTGAAAGTAGTATGGAGTTGGGTAGTGATGATAAAAGCAGGTAATACCTCTAGTGTGATTCTCTTTGGTATTTTAATTCCAGTAAGAAAGTTTTCCTTGGCAACCAGCCATACTTTACTCTCCCGCCTCCTCTCTGATTAGCTTGCTGTGTTTAGTTATTTTGATTAAAGTTTTTTTAGATTATATAGGAATTAGGCTGTACAGCTACTCAATAGATTTCTTTTCTCCATCTTGGCTTCTTGCCTGTTCTTAAAGCAACCAAACCTTCTTTTCTTTGAGCTTAGAAACAAGGTTGGGTGAAGTAAAACTATTGGGGTTTTTTTGTTTTTTGTTTTTAATAAAGATGTGGGATACAATTCAGGGTTAGGTATACAAATATTGATTATGTAGATGCCCTTGTTGATGAAGTGTGCCCCTCCCTCCCTCCCCAGCAGTTTCCCTCAACTGCCAATCCCACCCACCCTCTCCTGACAATTTCCCACCAATGCTAATCCCTTTCTTATAGTATAATTGTTCAAGGTCTGCTTATGAGTGAGAACATATGGTACCCTGTTCTTTGTTTCTGTGATAGATCATTGAATGTGATTGACTCTAAATCCATCCAAGTTGCTGTGAAGTCCATATGTTTCTCCTTCTTTATGGCTGTGTAATATTTCATTGTGTATATGTACCACTTTTTAAAAAATCCAGTCCAGCTTCTATTGGCAGCAAGTTTGGTTCTATGTTTTTGCTGTTATAAATAGAGCTGCTACAAACATATGTGTGCAGGTATCTTTTTTGTAGAATGATTTGAGTTCCTCTGGATATATTTCCAATAGGGGAATTGCTGGGTCATATGGAAGGCCAATTTCTAGTTCTTTCTGAGATCTCCACACTGTCTTCCAAAGAGGTTGCACTAGTTTGCATTCCCACTGGCAGTGTAGAAGTGTTCCTTTTTCTCCGCTTCCTCACCAGCATCTGTTGTTGTTTGTTTTATTAATGATGACCATTCTTACTGGGGTTAGGTGGTATCTCAGTGTGGTTTTGATTTGCATTTCCCTGATGATGAGTGAGACTGAGCACTTTTTCATGTGTCTGTTGACTGCCCGTATATCTTCTATTGAGAAGTATCTATTCATGTCTTTTGCCCACTTTTTAATGGGGCTGTTTGTTTTTTTCCTTTTGGTGCGTTTGAGTTCCTTGTAGTTCCTAGATGTTAGGCCTTTGTCAGACATGGAGTTGACAAATGTTTTTTCCCATTCTGTGGACTGTCTCCCTGCTCTCTTGATGGTTTCTTTTGCTTTGCAGAAGCTCATTAGTTTGATGAGGTCCCACTTGTCTATTTTACAGCATGGGCATTTAGGGTTCTTATCTGGAATTGGTTGCCAGTTCCAAAACTATTGTTAAATAACATTATATACAGTTAAGATCCTAACCTTAGCATTTTATGTTTTCATTTCCTAGAATGATAGAATATGAATTGTATGGGCCTTAAATAAGTCAACTACTTAAGTTTTGTGAATATTTCTTTTGACATAGAATAGGGTAGTGTGTTGTCATGTCTCAATTTTCTTTGTTAAGTTTCATGATGGTAGAATAGGTTCTATCCAGTGAATGTATGAAGTGAGTCTTATTTGTCCTACACTTAGTTTTCCTCAAACTTTAAGTCATGTTAATATCTTTCAGAGTTTTGTAGGCTTCAATCATGTCTTCATAACTGTACTGAAAGTGCTCATTCTTTTTTATTCTGCTCTTCATATAAATAGTCCTCTTTCCCACTGCCACCTCTACCCACAGTTTTTGTTTCTTTTAATTGTCTTTCTCTGGACCATATCCAGTTGTAATATACTTTACTTAAGATCTAGTGACCAGAACAATATATGTTGTTCATGTATGGATTCATCTTTAATTATTTTAGTTTTCCTGTATTTTTCTGGTTTTTACTTGACATTTTGTTTGCTACTTTGGTTCTGGAAGCATGTAAGACCAACAACTTTAGTACTAGGACCCTGTCCTGCCTTGACTCTGATAGCCTGTATCATGTCTTTCAGTATGCTTTATTTTTGTTTTTATTCATTTATGTATCTTTTTTACTTGGGGTCTTGCTCTGTCACCCAGGCTGGAGTATAATGACACAATCACAGCTCACTGCAGGCTCTGTCTTCTGGGATCCAGTGATTATTCTGCCTCAGCCTCCCAAGTAGCTGGAACTGCAAGCGTGTGCCATTATGCCTGACTAATTTTTTTTTTTTTTTTGTAGAGATGAGATCTTGCTGTGATGCCCAGGCTGATCTCAAACTCCTGAGCTCAAGCAGTTCTCCCACCTCAGCCTCCCAAAGTACTGGGATTACAGGTGTGAGCCACTACACCTGGCCTCCATATGTTTTAGTTTTTTAGTTTTTTTTTTTGAACTTGTCAGGGTAGAAATAGATCTGCTACTTCTCTGTCCACTTATATAACCTTCAGCTCTTCCTGTATTTTTTGCTGCAGCTTGGCCTTTAAGCACCCAGATTTGGTGCTTATACATAGTTTCCGTATACAGCATCTTTTATAATTTATAACTCTATTAAATATGGCTGTTCTTAGAACTACTATTTCTGTTTACCATCCAAAGATTTGCTCACTTACCCTTGTTTGTTTTTTTTTTCTTCTTCTGTCTTCAACTATAGCAGAACAATTCCTTTTTCCTTCAAATCTCTTCTTGTCAGAAGTCTGTTAGATGTATCTTAACTTAGTTTACAAAACTAATTTGCTTTTCCCCTAATTTTATGTTTACTTTAAACATCAATCAAAATACTGAGTTGATAATATTGAACTATTTAGAACATTATTTTTAGGAGCAATTATTGCCTTAGAGACTTGCATGCATTCCTTATATTTTTTCTGTTGAAATATTGCATTGGCAATAAGAGTTCTAGAGAGGAGGTTCAGCCTTTGGTAATGTTTTGATGTAGTTAAGTATATTGTCATTTTAACATCCATGATATCAAAACCTTCTTTTTTTTCTGAACTAAACTTTTAACTTGTTCGTTCCTGTTTTCCCTTCTCTCTCTTATCTGCCCAGTATCTTTTCTTAGGAGTTCTGTACTTTCCAAAATGTCCAGGATTACAGCTAATCCATTCTAACGTATTAATGAGAAAATGTTTCCACTTCATCCATGGTCAGAATTGATCATTTTTGGGCCTTCTCTCAATGATGATGATGATTGTTAGATAACACTATTCTAAGTACCTCCTTCTAGGCACTTCACATTCACTTAATCCTCACAATATTCCAGTGAAGTAAATACTATTATTATTTCCCTTTCTGTACTTGAGAAAATTGAAGCAGAGAAAGATGAAATAACTTGGGCAAAATCAAACTGCTTTAGGGTTAGGATTTGAATTAAGGGGTCAAATCCTAAGCAAGACTTTTAATCTTTTTATGTATTTTGAATGGTAGTATGTTTGTTAGTATTATCAGAATGCAGAATACAGATATTTTTTAAAAATATTTTATCTCCAATATATCAGATAAGATGTATACATAAGATGATAGGAGTTGCATGGTGAGAGAAGCTTCATTCCTAAAATTAGTTTCCTTTTTTATAAAAAGTTTGAAGTATGCTTAGTTCGCTTCAAGAAAGTAAAATCTCATTTATTCACTCATTCATCAATTATTTATTCAGTACCTAACAAGTAGCAGATACTATCTAGGTACATGGAATATATCAGTGAATAAAAATAGATAAATATCTCTTGTAGAAGAACCTAAATCCCTGAGAAGGGAGTAACAAGACAATAGATATAAGTTCTTTAATATATTACAAAATAAGTGGTATGAGGGGAAAAATAGAGCATTGGGAGTGTACGGATGGGGTAAGTTAAAAGAAGATGACATTTACGTGAAGACATGAACGATGGGAGTTAGCTGTGTGGATACCTAAAGGAAAAGTATTCCAGCATAGGGGACAGGTGATACAAAGGCCTTGAGGTAGCAGTGTGTCTGATGTGTACTGGAATACCGTGAAGACCACTGATGCTGGAGCAAAATAGGCAAGAGGAAGGAGAAGAGTTAAGAGGTAGCTGGTCAGGAAGGGTTCCAGGTGCTGTCAGACCTTCTAAGCCATCTGAGCAAGATGAGGAGCCATGTTTTAATTTCCTATTGTGCCAGCTACTATACTTGGTCCTTCACAGATGTTATATCATATGTTATCCAGAACCTCAGAAGGCAGATGCTTTTATCACCCTACTTTACAGCAAAAGGTATTGAAGTTTAGAAATGAAACAATTTGCTCAAGGTGGTACAGCTTGCGTGTAGAAGAACCAGGATTCAAATCCATGCTTTATTGTTCTTAAAACCCATGCACTTAATCGTTTTGCTACTTAAACTCCAGTTTGTAAGAAACATTTTAATATTTTGTGGACAGCAGCTCAAGAGATGGAACCATTGAAGTCTGTATTATTTTATTACATTATTATGTATGTAAATATATTGAAATAGTACCTATTTTATTAGTTATGGAGGAATGCCATTTATATTAAGAATATTGACTTTCTGAGTTTTATTCTCCAGGGGGCATAGATAATGCATTTCAGGAGCGTGAAGAAGGCCGTGCAGGGCCTGATGATAATGAGGAAGTCATGCGCGCACTGCTCATTCACGAGAAGAAAACTTCCTCCACCACGACTGGTTCAGTGGGGGCAGCTGCTCCTGTGACTACTGCCACTGGCAGTGACTCAGAGAGTGAGACCAGCGAGTCAGATGATGATTCTCCGCCCCGTCCGGTGGCTGCAGCTGCGCATCATCGGGAAGAGGATGAGGAAGAAGATGATGAATTTGAAGAAGTAGCAGATGATCCCATTGTCATGGTGGCAGGTCATCCATTTTCCTATAGTGAAGTGAGCCAACGGCCAGAACTGGTGGCCCAGATGACTCCAGAAGAAAAGGAAGCATATATAGCAATGGGACAACGCATGTTTGAGGACCTTTTTGAGTGAGCTTTCCCTACCTTTCCTTCTTTCTCCAATGTTCATTTCAAAAAGAATTCCCTATCTTTGAATAAAAGTGTTTATGTGGCTTTCTGCCCCTCTTGATGTAAAACAACTGTTAATCTTGTGCAAAGATAATAAAAGAGAAAGTTTGTTTTTTATGCCAGAAACTTCCCAGCAAGGTAGTTTGGGTATAAGTATTCCCTTCCCTGCTGGTACTACAGTATTAATATTTTACTGTATTTCCATATCTAATTTTTTTCTTTCCTTAAGACAGATTTTTCTCCCTTCTGAAATAAGTGAAGGAAATCCATAAGGTAAATTCTTCCTGTTCACCTGCAGAAGCCTACTATGATAGGTAACAAAATTCACTGATCATATGTTTTTAATCTGTTCTGACAGATTGTTCCCAAATTCCTCATATTGTTGCCAACCACAGCAGCTTGTCAACAGGCAAGTCGTTGATTGGGGGGGAATATCCTAAAACTTCCTCAAATTCTGAGTATTTCCTCAGAATTGAGGTTGGTGTATAAGGGAAGGTAGGAGTATGTGTGAAAGAGGGATGAATATGCCTGAGTCTCATGATTAATGTCTAAGTCAGTTCTATGTCTCTCGAACTGACCATGCTGGTGGATTTATTGTTTTGCTTAATGCCTTTTGGATTTGGCACAATAGAAAACAAAGGATGCTTGGTAAACCCTTATGAAGAAATTAGAAAAAACATGGACATTAGATAAGTCCGTGTGAAAAGTTAAAGAGTGGACAGCATTGGGACAGTAACTTAGAACTGCCTGAGTTTGATCTGATTTGGAAATCCTTTATATAAAGTTGAGACTGGTCCTGGTTTTCCCCCTTCTCTATAGACCTCTTGTCACTGCTATAAATTATTTATTGATGCCATTACAACAAAAGTCAACATAGAACAATTGATTACTCCTCTCTGCCCCTCTGCCCCCTCTCTTTCTAAACATCATTGAAGGCTTTCTTTGTCTCTCTTTTGGTTCTTGTCAGACATGGTATTTTAGAATGCTTCTAGTATATTGTTGAGCACTGTAACCTCAAGGAACAGTTTATTTTGGATTCTAATATGTAGCATGGTATTATTCCCTAAGGCAGAACTTTAAAAATAAAGAACTTTCATACAAAGGTCTGTAACAATTGTATTTTTTGTATTTTTTTGCATTGTAATTTTTATGTATTTATCATTTTATAGTACATGAATGAAGTTAAGATAGCATTTTAGAGTATCTGAGCCTTACATGAAGTGATGTTTCATTTACCTACATTGTATTAATGACTGAATATTGACTATCTATTTTATACTGACTGAAATGTGTTAATTTCTAGCTCTGTAACATCTTAGAGCATAATTAAAGTGGATATTCTTCCTATTAAAAAAAGTTAAAGACTTTTTTTCTTTTATTGGTCATATTATTACAAATAACAGATGCATCATATATGGTCTAAACTTTTTTGGCAATACGTTGCCTTCTTAAGAGTGGCCCTTACATATGTACCTTGTATACATGGAGTATTAAACTTTTGCACTTGATATTAGCCTAAAGGCTGAGAAGTGATGGCATTCAACTTTTAAGCATGTTTTTAAAACTTTCATAGGTCTAGAAAGATGTTAATTTAAATAAAATGATAATTAGATGTTAATTTTTAAAATGTGGGTAATTTTTAAAACTTTGTTTTATGTATGTATGTGGAATTTGTGTTAGGGAAAAATGTCACAAGTGAATACAAAAGTATGAATAAGGGTATTCATTGCAGTGGTATTTGAAATAGAGTGGAAAGGTAGATATACTCACTAAATGTGCACTAATCAGGGATTAAATTAGTTTCTCATGAACCACATAGTCATGAAAAAGAATATATTGATGGTACACACCTATAGTCCCAGCTACGCAGGAAGCTGAGGTGAAAAGATTGCTTGAGCCAGGGAGTTAGGAGCCTGCGCAACATAACAAGATCCTGTCTCCAAAAAATAAAAATAAAAAAAGAATGTATTGACAGGAAAGGATCTCCATAACGTGTTACACATAGGATTCAGTTTTTCTAGGGCCATGTGTATGAGTATAAAGGAGAGGGTAGCTAACATATATGAAGGGGGACCAAAAACCTTGGAATTATCTTCTACAGGACAGGCCCCTTGTAGTACACTTAGAATTTGTTCCTCCGGATCAAACGATCAACCAGAATTTTCATCTGGAAGTTCTGAGAAAGTTGTATCACGATTTGCAAAAGAAACGTCTCTACTTCTGGCAAACAGGTGACTGGTTCTTCCACCATGACAATGCACCTGCCCACAAGGTGCTGATTGTTCCGCAGCTTTTGACCAAAAACAGCATGACCCCCATGCCCCACCCTCCCTATTCACCTGATCTAACCCTGAGCAACTTTTTTTTTGTTTTCCTGGATGAAAAAAATCCTCAAAAGGAAATGTTTTGCTGATGTGGAAGAGGTGAAACAAAAAACAGCAGAAGCACTAAAAGTCATCACATTGACAAGTTCAAAAAGTTTTGAGCAGTGGAAAAAGCATCTTAATAGGTTTTTCAAATGGGGAGTACTTTGAAGGTGACTGAAACATGTAAGAATAAATACATAATTTTTTGATAAATAAATTCTGGGATTGTTGGATCCCCCCTCCTTGTAAGTAAGGGTGCTTTATATTTGCCAGACTCTATTTTAACTGCTTTACGTATGTTGATTCAGTTAATCTTTGACAATAAACCTGTGAGGTAGGTATAAGTGTGTGTATATACACGCACACGTAATTGGAGATGAGAATTACAGTGATCTTAATATGTTATAATGCAAAAGGTATTTCCATCTTGGAAGAAGAATCAAGTGGACATTTGCTGAATTTCATGTAGAAATTCCCAGGTAGACTTAAAGAAATAGCAGTGACAAAAGCAAGCACTTTTTAAGTTGATGCTAGGATTTGTCAGACTTATTTGTTGTTTTAAATTCTGGATTGGTCATTTCCTTAGATAAATATCTCTGAATTTATACTTACAATTAGCGGGAAAATATAATTTAGTCTGTAAAATTTTGAACACTACCCCCCTATTTTGATAACATAAGACTCAATGGAGTTTGTGATACTTTAGCAGATTTGTCTCTAGTGGCACAACAATCTGGTGAGGAAAACCAGTCAATGACAGAAGGACCAAAAGGGAACCTTGCCAGTTAGCCTCTGAAGCTCTAGTAAGGGCAGACTCACACCGAAGGTTGCTAGATGCGTGTAGTCACAGTGTCCCTTGACCCTAGGACAGCTGGACTCGTCACAACCAATAGCCTATAATGAGGGCTTGGGGAAGAACTTGGTTTCTCTGAATGTGGTTGACTCTGTTAGTATAACTTGTGTCAGCTGCCCAGGTATCCCAACTTTTCTATTATCCTCTAAAGTTTAAATAGAACCTTTTAATCCTAACACATCGAAATACCTCTTCCGGTATCATTTATTTTTCACAGGGGGTAGGGGAGAGGGGGAGGAGCTTATATTCTTTGGCTCTGCCTTCCTGCTTCCCTGGCTTCTCCATCTTGCCTCTGACCTGTACTGACTTTCTCCAGTACCATCAGCACTAGTCTGTAGTACAGTTCATCACTGAAGTTTTTACGATAATGAGCACGGGGTGAGGGGCGATGAGAAGGGTTTTTGTCTCAGCACTGCAGTCAAGAAATAATATTGGATTGTTTATGTCCTTGTTCTTAAAGACTCTCAGCTATTATCACAGATTTCATCCCAAGTAAAATCCTGCCTTCAAATTTTACTGAAGTTTCAGCTTTTTCTTTCTCTTTATCGTCCTTTTCAAAAGCCTTGGAAAGTTCTAAATGTACTAGAGATTATGATATCTTTGCCATTTGTTTTATTCCTATTCCTTCCAAATCATGCCTTGAAAGCTATTGTGTCCAAAATTGTCAGTTTGTTTCCCAACCAAGGAGCCATCTCTCCACCTCTAGGAGCCAGCAATAGGAGGTTAACTGTGGCTTTAAAAGGAACTTCTTTCTCTCCTCACTGCACTAGAAGATATTACTCATCATACTTTGCCAAAAATAAGGCGATGAGTAAACAACCTTGGCCCTAGGTGACCCATAACCTGTGTCTAATAGAAAACTTTTCATTTTATCTGCCCTTGAAGTTGAAGACTGTTTCTTATTTTGAAGCCATCCTCTCCCCAAACACCTTAAGGAGTATTAAGTTTAAACAATTACATGAAAATATTCAATTTTACATAGCCTGGAAGTCAGGATATCAGATTCTAGTCCCAGCTCCTGCTGAACAGGTAGCCCCTGTTACATATGACACTGTATTATTATCTGATGTACTATTTCTGGGCCAGTTTCTCAACTGTCATGAGAGGGTTGTGCTAGGATTACCAGGATTCCCTCTAGTTCTAATATTTTATAGAAGTGGTGGATAATATGTTTTAAAGCAAGGCCAAATGATAATAACCAAAACAAAGCAAAATGTCTTCCAATTTGTTATAGCAGTTCAAACCAGGTGAAGGATGTTTTAACTGAGGGACTAACTAGGGTGACAGGTTTGGAATTGAGGTAGCAAACCACAGCATAAACAATAGCTAATTCGGTTTCTCCTTTCTCATCTTGCCAAGGTACTTCATTTCTAGTAATCTGAATGACTGAGGGAGAAACAATGGACTGTTTCATAACCTTTTGGTATTGTTTGAGACAATTGGACATTGAATTGAACAAGATTGGGAAGAACAGTTCATTTTCTTCTACCAGTTGGCTCGATGGCTAGATTCCCAGCCAGAACTACAATAGAAAGACTTACATATGTACTTTCTTGTTCTCTTTATTCCTGAGTTTAAAAAAAGTAACCAGGAAATGACAAACAAAAAAACGAATATAAAAATCTTTAGAGTTTAGAAATTGGTACAATTCTACCTTTTATTTATTTATCATTTTGTTACCACCAAAGCTATTTTATGTGTGTTATCTCTAGCAGAGCTGGGCTACTGTTCTTTAAAAAAAAAAATTTAAAAATCTCTTGGGGATATGAGGAGGATTTTCAGAAAGAAACTGGCACTAGGGCAAATTTGCTGTCTATTCTGTTGGCTCTTTCTGCTATGAAAGAAGTAAAATAAACTGTGAACAAGACACGTACAGGTACTCCTAAAACATGTAAAGTTAAAATGGGCAGCGAAGGGGAAGAGTCATGAAATTTTACTTCTTTGAAGAGCTAAAGGAATGACCCAATTCTGGCATGCCCTCAGGGCAAGAACAAGTACTTAGGCTTCTCTTCTGCAAGAGCTTCCTGTTCTGAGTACCTGAGGTAGCCTTTCCTATTCCAGTCGCAAAGCAGGCAGGCCTAGTACACAACCCAGTTTCAAGAGTCAACCCACGTTTCAAATAATACCAAAGTATATTACTGCATACATAATGTAAATAAGCTTGAGGAGTTTGTCTGGAAAGAAGGCTGGTGCCAGGTGCTAAAATGCCTCGAATCTGTAAGGCATACAGGATGTTGCACAGATTATTATTATTTTGTTGTTGTTGTTGTTAGATACATGCATTATTTAAAAATTTATCTAATAAGAATAATATATAGTAAAAAGGGAAAACTCACCCCCACCTCACCACTCTGAGTCCAGTGTTGTTAGTTTAATGTGGTTGCTCCCACATTTTCTAGGCCTCTAGAAATCACACAAGTATACTACAAGGCTTTTTACATAAATGGAATTGTGTCATACATGTTACCATTTGATTTTTGACATATCTTGAAGAGCTTTCCATTTAGTATATTTAGATCTGCTTTATTTTAAAAAATAAGACCAGATGAAATTTTATAATATAGTTGTATGATGGTTTATGTAATAATTCCCCTATCGATGTGTATTTATAGGTTGTGTCCAGTTTTGCACCATTACAGTCTATAACGAACTACCCTTATATTTTCATTCTCTTAGTATTTCTATAGGATAGAATCATAAAAGAGAAATAGACAAACAAAGGGCATGTCTATTTTAAACTTTGTAGATACTGCCAAACTGCTCTTCAAAAAGATTGTTGGATAATTTTAAGAAGATGAACAATTTATAGTATCAATACTGGATTGAAATTTAAACCTAGAGATTATTAAGACCATTTCGATAGTCTTGGTAATTTGGTCTAAAGACCTGTCCAAGTTAGTGGGGATGGAAAGATAGGGACAGATTTGAGAAACTTTGGGGAGGTAGAATGGAATTTGGTGACTGTTTGATAGCAGTGCCTTGAATGAAGTTCAAGTTTCTAGCTGCATGGTGATTTCCTTCACCATGACAGGAAACACAAGAGGAGGAACAAGTTTTGCTCTTGTTCTAGGCTCAGTAAAATGGCATTATCTTACCTATAAGCTCAAGTCAAAAGTCTTAATAGTTGACAGTCCTTT